TATACTTTTAATTGTATGTTTAAAAAAAGAGATTCCATGCTTGGGGCTGATACCTTTGGGAAAGAGTGGGAATCAATGGTTTTCCAAAAAACGTTGTTGTTTTTTTGGTAAGTGTTTTACGTCGCTTACAACTGCATAAGGTCATGTGAGCGTGCAGGACAAAACAAACATTTTCAGTTTGTAGAAAATTTTGAATTTTTGCGCAAGTGGTAGCCGAAGCCTACTCGTATCGATTTTGGACCACCAAGAGATCTTTAACGTCTGCAACTTGCACTCGGAACCTCCGGGATTTTTCGCCCTTGTCCGACTGAGCTAGGTGTAGATTGTATACCTACCATAAGATCAGGGGTGTGGCTGAAAGACAGCAGTAAGAAAGAGCCAAGGCGAAACAGTAGAAAGGCTGCAGAAAGAGCCAAGAGCCCAGCAAAGGAAGGGGCAAAGGAGGTGAGGGGATGGGGACAGAAAGTGGGGACGAAAGCAGACGACAGAACATTGTTAGAGAGCAGGAAAGGATGTGAAAGGAGACAATTTTGAAAAGGAATTTTTGTTTGTTTTAGACAACTTTTAGCAACACCTGTTTTGGGAAATTAAATGCTTAGCAAGCTGTGCCCAAGGTTGTGTCTATCAATATTATTACTTCGAGAACGAAAATGCGCTTAATGTTTTCTTCGTTTAGAGGAGAGGAGGACGGTTACACTGGATCGTGTATCTATTGGGATCTTTATTAAGATCTGCGGAAAATAGCTCATCTTTTCTACTATACATTGCGTCCCTGGTGCCTGTCATGGCCGCTTAGCCGCGTCTGTGATGTAGAGGTTGGATGCCTCGCCGTCTCACGTAGAAGACCTGAATTCGATTCGTGTTTTGGGAGAATGATTTTTATCGAATATATCGGCTTATTCAGCGGTAACATTGTATTTTATCCCTCTCAGTTCAAGTTAACCCTGACATGCGGGTTTGCACCCGCGTCCTAAATTATCTGGACTGTATCGATGGAAGAGTAAGAACGGCTACATTTGTTTAAACCTCCGCTCTACGGTCTGATGATAAATACATCAATCATGAAGGATTTCACAGCCACGTTTGTTGATCTTCTTAACACAGGATAATACACTCATCATTATCATACAGATAGAGAATTGATGAAAGTGAATTTCTCGAAGCAGAGGAACTGTTCATGTATTTGATTTCATTATCTTTTTTTTTTTTGTGCACAAAAGACTCGTCTGTTACGCGTATGTGATCTCCAGGTGTCTCAAACTGGCACCACACTGGCCAAATTATTTTATCTCTGGCCCCCAGATGATATCTTTCGGCACCTACTCGACATCAACAATGTTTATAGTGTTAATGCAGCCCAAATGTGGCTGTGTTATGTAAGACAAAATGCTAACGAGTCTCTGGCAGCAAGGACCTGTGTTCTGAAGAACAATTCACGCTCTGAACTGTAATTTATAAACGTTGAGAAGACTAGATCAATTAGAATATGTATGAAATCTTTTTGTGGAAAACTTGATGCGACCAAGGCTCAGCCAGACTCTACCTCCAGCGGCCCCCGGATAATTGGAATTTGAGACTCCCGCTGTAGGCAGATATGTTTCTGAATCAGAGTTAACTGTTCAATCGTTGTATATGAGGTCATGGAACATCGATTAAACGGCACTATGTAAATACTACAGCGGTTATTACCACATAGTACAGCAGAAACGTCCCATTGAGCTTTCAACAACCTGTCACCCCTCCAGTTGAGGCACTTTTGAACGTTTCCTTAATTTTTGCAAGAATTATCTGGTGCCTTTCACCACATGATAACATGATAAATGTCTGACATTGTCCAGATCACCTCCCCCCCCCCCCCCCCCCCCAAAAAAAAAAAAAAAAAAAAAACACACACATGACCACCTCATCCACATAAATCTCTAACAATCAAAGCAGAATCGTTCCTTGACTGGAATCTACACTCCGACCTCGGATAGTGAGTATTTCACATCTCGGCAAATTAACATTTCTCTACTTTGTCCCGTGCTTTTTTGGAAGTAACAATAGAAATACTACTCATATGCTGCATCTGTCTAACATTAGAAATTATAGGTGGTTGGGTTTTTTAAACTGTATCAAGATTCTGTTTTACAGATCCGATTCTTAACACTTCTCCTATCTTTCCTTTTTAACAGTAAACCAACTAATACAATTTCCAAGGTAGTTGTGCGGCAGGGAACGGATCCTTCAAGTAAAATTATATTTAAGGTGGAGTAATGCGCTGTCATGTTTTGCAACGGCACGAATATAACTTGTCACGATGCGGTGAATTTAGGCGTTGGTCAATTTAGGGGCACATGGAATTATTAGTATCATCTTAAAGCGCATTCATTTGACTTGCTTTTGATGAAAAAATAATAATCTATCTTGAACTGAAGTCGTGATGTGTGTCGTTGAAGGAGTTTAGGCTGCCTGGTGTCAGGGGTAAAGTTAGCTAGAAAATGGGCGCCAAAGTTTGGTGACTTCCAAGATATGAGTATCCTTGGAAACAACACATTTTCAATTTTGTGATCCACACAGAAATATGTTTTAAAATGGATATAAAAGATGTTGAGCCAAAATCAAAAGTTTAAAATTGTCCAAGGGGCAGAAAAATGTTGATTTCTTAGATTTCATTATTTTGACAAGCGACTGATTTCACCACGATGCTAGGAATATAAATTTGATAACGAGCGACTCTTAAAAAAAGAAACTAGTTTCAAAATCACTATCGTTTTCTGAGACAGATACAGCCAATGTTTTAGTTTAAGTAAGAGTTTTACCGTACTTGCAACACAATAAGATCACACAAGTGCCGAAGATTAGAGTTATAATGAGATTTATGAGAGAGTAACAAAATACAAAAAGGAGGATAGATTTCTGATAAAGGCGGTAGACGTATGATAGGAAAGGAGGAGCAAATCACAATCACAACAGAGTACCCACCAATAAGTTACTGCCAATGTTTATCAACTATGGGATAAGTGTATGGAAATAACGCCCCTTTCAACACTCAATAGCATAATAATAATATGATTGTGCAGGAATGTCCCCCAGCTTTACCTTTTATCTCGAGTTGCTGTTATGTATTTTTCTTCTCTCCTATGTCACCTGGGCCGTTCTTCAGGGAAGTCCCATCAGTAATGCGGTAATCAAGATGTTTTATTTTCCTTGACAGAGCCTGCAGTTCATTCCTGTTCGTATTTCTTTCTAATTTTCCAACACAACCCGATGCTTTCACTTTCTCACTGGTTCAAAATAACATTTTCTTTAATAGAGCGATAAACAAACGGATACTTGGCATCACAGAAATAGCAACATAGTTATCTAATATCACCGAAAGAGGGTCTAAATCAAGTTAAGTTTCCAGTAGTTCCAAATGTATTTGGCTTGAATATAAAGGTCACCTTTTTGTTGTCTTTATTTTCTGATTTCTTCAATCTTTGAAAGGAGTTGCCCTTTTAAATTTGCTATTTCAATGATACGAGTGTTCCCATATGTACAAATTATGTTTTATTTGTTTGGTATTTTTCTTCCTATTTGCCTTTTCATTTATCAATTTCGGAGCTCATTCGCCAGCTTTTGATGCTAACGTTAATCTAACAAAATATTTCTTTTTCTACACAGGCTTGTCATGGCTAACACATCTACTATGTGTTAAAATGACACAGATAAATATGCTTGTTCTGACGCCATGGTGTGGTCTCAGAGATATTACAGTTTGGCTCCCAAATTGTTACGGATACAATTGTTTATGAAGTACTGACTTATTGGTTCTTGAAAATAGAAATGCGAGACTTGTTCTTGTACTTCGGTTTAATAAGTTGTACTTTGTTTTCTTCAGAAGTCGAAGTTTAATAAAAACAGAACTCTGAATACTGATAATGAGGCACGTATTTTTCAAATTGGATAAACTGCTTATCGAGCACACCTTATTTTTTTTAATTGAGAAATTCTAGACCGGTCAAAAGGGAATCTTTACACAAACTTTTTTTCAATTTCTTGATTGGACCAAGTTGAGGTGATGGTTGCTTCGTTTTTGTTGGGGTTTTTTCAATCTGAAAATCTGAAGGAGTAAAAACTGTTTTCCATTTCTAGGCAATTAGTTTATTCCTCCCTACTTGACACTTTTGTTACGAAGCTACATTTGACCTACTTCCACTGCCAAGGCACCGAGCTCACACTGACCTCCCAATGCTACACCAATATCCTGAATGTATTTCTTGTATTTGTTCACATTTTTAAAATCATTTTTTTCCTGCATTTTCCTGTCACCCTTTTTGGATGATTATATTATTTTTTATGTTTCTGGCTACATTAAAGGTTTGCATAATATGCACGTTCAGTTTTTATTCCCATAACCTCAAAACCATTTCTGCATGCCTTTCTTTTTTGGGGGAAAAGATTTTCTTGAATTGGTCTCCCGTTCCATTTTCAGTGCTGGGCTCCTAGCGCTGTGTTTAATTATGCATCTACAGTGCTAATATTCTGAGCTCTTATTGTACATACATATGGGGTTTCCTATAGGATGAGAAGCCACTTCCAACATGGCATACAGACTATAGCTGAGAACTCTTGTCAAAATGACATTTTAAAGCCCTTTTTCCGGCCCACTTTGGTAGACTGGTGGCACTGTAATTCACAAACTGAATCGTCAGTTCTCTCTTATTTATCAAGTTCGCTGATAAATTATAATAATTTACTTTCTCGCTCTTCGTTGGGATTTCACGAAGACAGAAAAATGGGCTTGTAAACGGGCACTGTGTCTCGAGTATGGATAAGGGACTTTGGTGACAGCCTTTTGGTAACTGATGAGAATTTAAAAAATGAAATCATTCCCGTTTCGTGAAATGAATAGGAATGCTAATTAGTGTCATTAAATGATTTTCTTAATTAGCCTCCTAATGCACTCTTCCTTAACAATTGCCATTATTTCTTCACCCTGCCCCAGTATTTCATTTCAGAAATAAAACCACGGGTGCACAATTTTGATTCATTTATTATATTCTGATAAAATGAACAGACTCATATTTCTGAGTAGTATCCCGAGCCTTTTTAATGTGTTGCCAGAAATGGTCTTCAAATTGGCTTGCTATTAGTAACCAAAGTCATCTCCGAAAATTGGTTCTCTCCTTTGCAACAGTAGCCTGTAGGTAATCATAATAATTTCAAAAGACTGGAGGCACATTTTTTAATTTTTATTATTTCTTAAAGATGGATATATTTTTTTAAAAAAATTTTTACAATTATTTTATTTATTTACTTTTGTGTGGGGGTTGGGGGGGGGGGGGCTTGTAAATCTTTTTGATATTGATTTTTTAATAGTCATATTTGTTAATTGAGCTGCGCGTAGGTTTTTTTTTCTTTTTTTAAATCTAAAACTCTAAAACTAAAACATTGATTCAATGAAAAAAGGGAGTTATGAGGTATAAGCAATGCAGTCTTGAAATTACGATACTTCACAAACGACAACATAAGTGCTTTTTATGAGTCTTTTATAACCGATATTTTAAGCTCAAATCACAAAAACGCATTGTTTTTCGATTATTAAGGACTTGTATTGGAGCTTATTACAAAATATACGTTACCCACCATTCAAAACCCTGTATCATTTTTGTAACACACAACTGCCATTCTAAGATAGTATTTCTTTAATAAATCTATAGATTGTGTACCTGTAAAGAAAGTTAAGCTTTTGAAAAATACACCCCTGATGAAAGCTAATTTTTCTGTTTGATATTGAGCATTTTTAACACAGATTGCTCTTTCAGATTCAGATCCTTGACAAAATCCTGGGGGTTTTTTGTTCATATAACTGGAGTGACTGGTGAATAAATTGACTTACCGATGAAATATTTATGTTGCTCTTTTGATTGTTTAACTCTCTATTTGCTCGGTAAGTTGGTTGGTTGTTGGAAAACTGTTTGCTTAGCTTTTCGCTTGATGACTATTTTGCTGGGTGATTATTTCTCAGGTAAATTGCATTTTCTTGATTACTAAATCTACTGCTTACTAATGCGGCATGATTAGTTTAGACTTTGTAAGTAGACTAGTGATGAAATTGCGTTTCTAAAAATCTAAGGTGTATAATTTACATGTGTGGTGTACCTTAAACTTTTGCTACAAGCAGTCGTGTTGGCAGTATTTTGCCCGAAATAATTCCCTTAATTAATTTTTTAGGGAATATAAAAAATGAAAAGAGAATTTCAGTATTTGAAAAAGAACATTCATTTTCATCAAAACTTTCTCCCAAAAAGCGTTGTTCGTCCCAATGTTTTTTTCCCTAGCAATGACGGGTTTTTACAATTTAAAAAATTATAGGCAGTGCAGGATTAGATTCTATGTTTAAAATCTTCGTATCTATGCTGCCCGACTTGAAACCGTATTTGTTGTTTCCTTAATAATTTATTGAGTACGCTTAGATGTGAATAGGGAAATTATATAGAACGATATAACTGTGTGATAAACTTACCCGGATGTTTCCTCTGTTTTTGTTGACAGGCCACAATGGTGCACTTACTCAAAGTGGCACGTCTTCTTCGCTTGGCGCGCCTCCTGCAGAAGATCGAACGTTACAACCAGTACAGCGTCATCGTACTAGCTATGCTAATGTGCTTCTTCGCACTGCTTGCTCATTGGCTGGCCTGTGTCTGGTACGTCATCGGGAAGGCGGAGCTTGAAACCAGCCATGAGAACTGGACAGCTGGTAAGTTACCTGCAGATGTGCCGCTAAGCCTGTAGAAATATGTCCTTTTCAATACACAAGTATATTATAAGTTTGAATAATTGTTTAACTCTTGGATTTTTTATCCATATAATTTTCTTTTAAGATATTTTATGTGGGGCAACGTGGTGAAATCAGGCGCGCGTCAAATTACAGAAATCGGAGAAACAGGAATTTTTCCGAAAGTTTAGAAAGTGTTATTGAATTTTTTTTTATGGAAGAGGCTAGCCGTCCTTATTTTTATTATGATGGCCAGGTTGACTCCAAAAAATGTAAATAGGCCTACTGAATTGTAAATACATTTTTAGTTTGCAGTACCTAAAGTATTTGTATTTGAGTTGAAACCAGGTGCCTTAATGACAGTGCTTGTATTTTAAACCTGAATAATTACTAATGAGACCTGTTTTCTAATATTAATAGGGCATAAGATAAGTACGGCTGGACTTCTTGGCTAGTTATACTTAAAGACGGCAAGGCTTAATATTGATGGCTTCATTGTAAAAGACATTTTTAGTTTGCAATGCCTAAAGTATTTGTACTTCAGACAATACCCAAAGGTGCCTTACTGACTTGCATGTATTTTAAACCTGAATGGTTACAAGATTCTAGATCTAGATCAAATGAGACCTATGTACTCAACGTGTTTGAGTCGATAGGGCCAAACCTAGATCTAAGTACTTAAGTACGGCTAGCCACTTCGTTTTTTTCTATTTTTGGGCTCAACCTCTTTTACGTCCATTGAAAAACACATTCTCATGTGAATTTTATTGAAAAAAACATTGATTTAAGATGCAAGATATATATGTCATTTTTTCTGTTTTCAAGGACTCTTTAAGCTATTGAGGTTACCAAACTTTGACGGCCGTTGTCGCGCTAATTTCACAACTGAAACCATGCGACCTCACTTCCTTCTGTCGCAAATATCTTACGTTGTATGCAAGATAGATGGATTTTTATTGCAATGGAAGCAAGGCAAATAAATCAGCTTTCAGATGATACCAATAACTCCACATGCACAAAACTTGACGAGCCCCTGATTCTACTGTGTCGTGACACATATTCGTACTTTCTGTTCGATTTCTGAAATATTAAAACAATATTTTGCAGTTTCGACATCATTTTGGAACTTTAGTTGATAACGTTATTATTATTGTTGTTGTTTTTATTGTTGTTGTTGTAGTTGTTGCTGTTATTGTTATATCATCATTATTGTTATTGTTGTTATTATTGTTATGATTATTATTTGGTAATCTAGTAGGAACATAACTTTACATTTACCCATCAGGGTGGCTGTTCGAGCTTTCTGAGCGACTAGACATGGTCATAATCAACAAGACTCACAACATGCCGGACATGATGACGTCATACCTGACAGCTCTCTACTTCACGTGCTCCAGCCTGACTAGTGTTGGCTTCGGCAACGTGTCAGCTAACACCAACGTGGAGAAAATCTTCTCAGTGTGTGCTATGCTGGTGGGAGGTGAGCTCTACTGTGTGTGTGTGTGTGTATAATTAGTGTTTCTGAGTGTGATATGTGTGGGTATCAGTGTGTGTGTGTGTGTGTTAGTGTGTGTGTGTATCTATGTGTGTGTGTGTGTGTGTGTCTGTGCGATATGTGTGTTTGTGTGTGTGTGTGTGTGTGTGTGTGTGATGTGTGTGTGTGTGTGTGTGTGAGTGTGATGTGTGTGTCTGTGTGTATGTGTGTGTGTCAGTGTTCATGTGTGTGTATCTGTGTGTATGCATCTGTGTGTGTGTCTGTGTGCGATGCATGTATGTGTGTGTATGTGTGTGTCTGTGTGTGTGCGTGTGTATGTGTGTATGTGACGAAATGGACAACAAAGTTCAGATTTGTTCCTTATTTTTTTTTTTTATCAAAGACTTCAGGATTGAAAATGAATCAGAACTTTCACTCGGACCCTTAAAAAGTGTGTAAAAAATTATGAAGTCATGCTATAGAATGAAGTGGGTTTTTTTTAGGTTAATGCATATGCAATCCCCCCCCCC